ATAGGCTTTATCAAGAAACCTCTCCCATTGAAATAACACAGGACGTAAAAACGATTTTCAAAAATGACCTTGTAGCTTTCTAACTTAAATGTTCACTTTAGGCAACGTTCAAAAAAGTCAGACAACTTACAATTAGTTTTCTGCATCAAAATATATTTCGGTGAATCTTTTACTGAATACTAGTACATATCCTGAAATGTGATTTGCCCCGAATCCAGCATTATTTCGTCTGACTTCTAGAAGATCCTGGAGCATGATTCGTTTCCAAGGAATATCAACTATTTCGCACAATTTATTCTTTATAAGCTACTTCATCTAGGACAAAATAAATCACCTCATGCAATGGCTTGTCATTATTTTTCAGGAATTTTGTTGGAAGCCAGTTCGGATCAACTGCAAGGTTATTGAAATTGGCGCAAACACCCTGTACTCTGAAAGGTCGTTCTTCTATGATAACTTTTCACAACGTTTATACGAAGGCTTTTTAAACTATCCAGGATAGTCGTATTACTGATGAAAATATCTTCAAATAAGTGGGTCTCGGTTATGCTTTGTTTTAAAAAGTTAAAAATATTGCTTCGGAGTGGTAAGTTCCCCTGAGCAGATTAACTGCAACTGATAATAAAAACGTTTTGGTGGATATAAATCATATATAAATACAAGCGACTGTTCGAATATAAAACGTATTTTGTTAAGTTCAGACGGCTTGATAACAAATAAAGCTTTCACTATTTGAAGATTAATACCATATGATTTTCAATGTTTTTTTATTATGTAATTTATTCGCTAAACATATCATGACATTAACATGAAAATGGAGGGCAAGTAAACTGGAACGATAACAATTTGAATTCTATATAATCTCTTAGATGAGTGGAGTGTATCTGAAAGTACTGAACAATTGAAAGAATGAATAAATTTGAACAAATGCTTGTGTTCATAAATGATATACGCTTTTAAATAATTAATTTCACAACGTTTTTAATTATTTAACGAATTGGTTTCGGGGACTACGCCAGCCCCAGGGACGTCCCAAGAAATATTTTAAATTTTAATTGAAATAAAACAAAACAGAGATGTACACATTTGAAAGAACATGTGTTTCATCAATATTATGACTTTTCCAGATATTTATTCGTCAATGTTGTAAAAACCATTCGGAGTATGGGACGTCTGCATTGTTTTCAATAATTAGTTTCAATATCTTCGTATTGGACCAGAACTGGCTTAAAACAAAATTCCTACAAAGGACTGATTTAGCCATTGTCCAAGATGGGTTATTTTGTCGAGAAGAAGCAGCTTTTAAGTTAATTGTGCGAAATTATTGTTATTTCTAAATGTAAAATCTCATGCTCTGGGGTCTTCCCAAAATTGAATCTCACCCCGTGCCTAAGGTTGCCAAACGTTCTGAGGGAAGTGTAACTTCACTATGACATGTTTTTAACAAAATAAGGCTCTCGTGTTCACCATAACAAATATCAATTCATGTACTGCTCATATATGTAGTTTTCAAATAGCACAGTAATGTTTCTGGTTATTTTCACCAAAATGATATTTTGAGAAATCCTGACCGGGGGTTCGTTCGAACCCACCGAACCCCCGCTGCCTACGGCTATGCTTAAGTTGTTTCATTATTAACCTCGCTACCAGATATCTAGTATATGTTAATATTTTTGATTATGTTGGTCTTCAGCAGATGTAGAATTTAGACTAAATCATCTGCCAGGAAGTTTCCCAATTAGTGTACCAAATCATACCATGGGCACATCGCCTATTACGCCAAATACTGTTCTGTACTTTGCATATATTTTCTCACATTAAGTGTAATATATGTATTTATTATGCAATATGCATCTCACATTTAGTGCAATATATGTATTTATTGTAACATTTGTCCTCGACCATATGCATTTTGCAATTCACATTTAGTGCAATATATGTATTTATTGTAACATTTGTCCTCGACCATATGCATTTTGCAATTCACATTTAGTGCAATATATGTATTTATTGTAACATTTGTCCTCGACCATATGCATTTTGCAATTCACATTTAGTGCAATATATGTATTTATTGTAACATTTGTCCTCGACCGTATGCATTTTGCAATTCACATTTAGTGCAATATATGTATTTATTGTAACATTTGTCCTCGACCATATGCATTTTGCAATTCAGCTAGACAAAGACGTCATAACCATTAGGTCGTGAGTTGGAGACGCGTGAGCTTCTTGTATTTATTCAATTCTGCATAATTAAAATATATTGCATAATTAATATCAAGTAGATTGTTACTTCGCTGTGAATAACTTACATTTTCGCTGAAACTTACATGTCCAAAGTGTGATGTGCTGTGTATGATATGCCTACAAATCAGCAAGTAAAAACGTTAAGACAGGTAAACATTTATAGATAAACAATCTCCTGGAATATTTTGCCAACCTTAATTTGACCCCTCTAACTAAACCTAACAAGTACAACATGTTATCAATTCCTGACCCTTTGTAATTGAGGACATAATGGGAAAATCTGGATATAAAGTATCAAGTAACATCTCATATCATATCTTATAGACATATTGCTCCCCCCCCCTCCGTCCTCCCCCCCCCTCCGTCCCATTTTAATTATTTTCGATTATTTTTTATACAACGTATGGAAACATATTTTGTAAAGTCATTAAGGTCATTAATTTTATGATGATAATGTCACTTACAAATATTTATTGCACGTTGTGTAGACCGTTGATGCTTGATTTAAAGCAAAAACATTGACTTTTGCACGTTGGTGGTGTTGCGCCTTTTTTAATAGATCTTATACCTAAGAAGAGAATCGGCTAAAAAAAATTCGTAGAATACTCGACATATTTTACCATACCAAACCATATTCGTTTAGCAATTAAATCATAAACCTTTTCTTGAAAAAATAATTTTTCAGATTTGTTCATTTTTCTACCAGAAATTGCTTGCTCCCCCTCCGTCCCATTTTCACGATCACCGGGTGTGTGATAGTTTTATGCCTTTTTATTAGACGGAATGTGAAATGTTGGCAAAAATTATGAATGATTTCATCAAAAGAAATGTATGGTATTTCGTTTTTTAAGTGTATTTTATATAACTAACAATCTTCACAATATCTCAGTCATTTTGTATAATTGTAAAGCAATGCATTGGTTCAACATTTCAGTTCTATTGAAAATGTATATCATACGTGTTTGCCACTTGACAAAATGTTTGATGTAATTTGCTTCGCCCTGGTGTCGCTGTCTGTTTTTCTTGAGGAAACATGTATGTCTCATTTTTGGATGAAATTCATATGTGTTTAGACAATATAAGCATTTTTTAATTAAACAAATTCGCTATTTCTTTTACATGTTATATATACTTGTAATGTATCTACCCTCTGTAAAGAAAGGGGTACATGGTACATACTTTTATGAATGAATAAACAATGATGGATTGAAATAGCCATGCCAGGATGGTTATTTGGGGATATCTCAAGGATGAAGTCTACACAACATCACCGAGAGACGCTGATGATCTAAGAGCCAGAATTGTTGCACCAATGGAGGATCTAAGGGGACACAGAGACATCATCAGGGTGTGCGATGGGATCTAGGGAAAACATTTGCATTGAAAGGAATGTGGGTCATATTGAAGGACACAGTGGTTAAAACAACTTTACAAATGGACATTGGAATTTAAAAAGGGTGTTAAATATTGGAATCAATGAGTAGAAGAGTAATATCCTGATGTTTGTTGTCACTATATAATGATGGTGAAATTGACTTGGCTGAAAGTGGCACAAACCCATTTCTGATATGGTCACTTAAATCCCTCATTGGTCAGTCATCTGTGGAGAAAAATAGGAGATCTTGGTATTATATGAAAGAAGACATAAAGACACAAATGGTGATACCTTTGGAACTTCCCTAATATTCTTCATCTTTGAGAAATAAGTAATTCAATCTCGAATTCCTTTTTTGAGACACCCTGTGTTCTTTTATTGATTTTGTCCAATTTCCTCAATGGAATGATTCAGCACACAATGCACTGAATCCAGGGCTTAAATCCTTAAATCAAACGCCCTCATCCACTGTATTGGAAGCAAAATCATTTTGTTACTGTATTTGATATTATCACAAATAGCCAGTAAAGGTGTGTCCGATTTCAGCCAACCCAAACACATTATTTCATAGAACCGCAGTGCATTAGATCCCCAATCACCGCATCTAAGGTTACTCCTTATGTGGTTGTCAAGGTTACAACTTGAATCTACATATTGAAATTGATGGTTTGCAAATTTGACACTTGCAAAATCTTTCATTGAAAATATGTTCTTTTAGTGATTTCGTATCTTTTAAGTGACATGCTGGAGAATATTTTACAATGTGTTAGAAGAATTCAAGCTCAAGACTCAATGCATTGTGGAATGACCATTTCTTCCAGGCGTTATTTCCTAAAATCAACACTCGATACTGCGTATCTCGTGCATATTTTGGAAAGCAACACCTTCAAGGAATGGTCCTTCCACATTGCACTGAGTACAGGGCTTAAAACATTAAACCATGTGACAAAATCTAGAATTTGTGCTTTATGTTATGTTGAAGAGGAAAATATAGTACATTATCTATTCTCTTGTGAAAACCTAGAACAAGAGTGGGTTCTTTTTAGAGTAAATGTTAGATTAATGAAATACAATGGTCAGGATTTCATTACAACACAACTAAACCATAAATATCTCAAAACAAGGGGAAAGCACTGCTGCTATATACAACTTATTTAACAAAATATGTAGCTTGCTGTAGATAGTGGTACTTAACTTTTTGTATTTCTACTTTATATCTTACATAACTTTATGTAATATTGTACTCATCATTTATGGTAACATAGACATGCTGATTTTTTGGCCAGTTAGGCCAAATATCACTAATATCACTATTAAATATATCACAAGATACAATGGTCAAACAGATGCCATTGTTTCATATAATTGGCCCCTCATTGTTTCCAATAATTGTCCCCTCCATGTGGTACCTTCATGTAACTGGTCATTACTGAATATGATATGAAAGACATAATAATGTTCTATATATCAAGGTCATTATAGTAACGTTATGTAAAAGAGACACTGAACTCATAATCATGCAGACACATCTTGAATATAATATCATCTATAGGCTATGTTATATAAAAATCCCTGTGATCCAAATGTATGCCTGTTAATTAAGTGTATAATATCGCTTATTTATATGCTATTACGAACATAAAAGTATTATACGCCACATTGTAATCATCTTGAAAACATGACTTGGTTGGTTTCATATCAAAACGAGCAGCTTCCATCACATCACGGTTGATATTTATGTCCACATTCACTTTCCAATTCACAAATGTACCAAGTACATACAGTACACACGTCATTTGATACCCGTTGTCTTTAGGCTTAATTGTCGATTCCATTGCTAATCATTTTTCTATGGATATCCATTATCCATCACATTCCAAGTGATATCTTTATTTATCCCACGATTAATGTGTTATCTGTACAATAACAGCTATTGATATCTCTTATATTATTGCAATCCGTGTGATATTTTCCAGAAAATCGTTTATCAAACTCATATGCGTGTGATATCGTTTATCTCACGCATATCCGTGTGATATCACATTTGCATTTCGCGCCACAATATTGTTGGAAAATAGGTCAGATAATTTATTCTCTTTGAGAAAATAGGTCTGCCAGTGTCCTGGAAATTGGATCAGAACATCACAAGGTGATTGTAATCATGGGATAAACCCAATATCACATAATTTCTCGTGATATCATTTTATCGCCTCGTAGATATCAAATATCAACACTCATTCGCTTCGCTCACTCGTGTTGATAATTTTATTTGATATCAACTCGGCGATAAAAATGATATCACTCAAAATGATGTGATATTCTGTATATATTTATATTCTCCCAATGGAGACGCGCTAGTTTGACTAATGGGCCTTTTCTTAGAGGCGTTTGCACTAACATTATGCTCGGACCCGCTATATAGAATATCAAGATAAAAATATATATTTGAGACTAGGTCTCTTTCTCACAGTATCATTCACAATTTACATCAGCACTGTATATTAAATTTAATTCTGGACGTAAGGAACATCCTCTGAAATATTGTTTAGCGTCGAACTTTGACTTTTGTATTTTTCCTATGATATCACACTGGAATGAAGAAAAATGAAAAAATTAGGGCAAAACTTTCTAATTATTTTCATTCAGGCATAACTTAAAGATGCTTTAAAAAGACTGAGGAAAGTTAAGTGTCACAATTTGACAACATTCAAATATTCCTAACAGATGACAAACAGTTTGTCCGACATGTCACCATGAAAATTCTTCGATTGTGGCAATACGTTTGAAAAGATGGACATATCTTTCTATAGCCAGTGAGTTTGGCCAATTTTGCATGTTAAATCTTCAAAATCGTCCATATCTGATCAGATATCTCAAACATGTTTTCAAATAGCTAAAACTCATATTTACCATCCATTCTGCACCAATGAACTGCTGTGGTCGCTATCCCCAAGCACCCTCAACAAGAACCGGCCTTTCTTAGAGCCTCCCTTGATATATGGTACAATAAAATAACTACCAGGATCAAGGTTTAAACGTAGAGTCACTTCTCTCTCCTCGTGTTGTGAGGTCTTTTCGGCAACCATATGAAGTTTCTGGAGAGTTTTCTTTTCATCTTTTACTGGGTTGTGAATCTGTGTAAAATGAATGGTTGAATTCAGATTGCAGTAGCTAGTAGTAGCCAGAACAGAACTGGTGGTGTGATTCTATTTTCCTAATAATCCTTTTCGTTTCTGAATACTTTTTATAATTTCTAAACAGGATAAACTTCAAAATATTTTCTTTGACCCCTATTCAATTTTTATTTTAATCGTCCTTCATATTTCTTTCAATAATGGACAAGTTCAATTAGACAATTTTGTCAAATGATCTTCATGTTTAAAGAAGTAAATGAGATGTGGGCCAAATAAAAATACTTTGAAGTTTGTGTAAATGTGATTGAAGATTATTAATCATATATATTATATGTGTATAATTAAAAAGGGAATTAAACATTCGTGACTTCTGCCCTGGGTACTATTGATTTAAAGTGTTTTTAAAGTACAACTCAATGGGTTTCCCCATCTTCGCACGCTCGGTCTTCACTGCGTTCATCGACGGGAGCCGAGTAAACGAAGATGGGGTTTCCCCCGAGTAGTGAGATAACTTGGTTGAACCGCTGTAATAAAGTGTAAATTTATAAACATTCTGATGTCCGTAGCATCAATCAATGTGCATCGCAGATGAAGGGACAGAGATGGAGAGGGATGTATGAGGCAAAAAACTTACTCTATAGACTTCAAATCCAATCTTGGAGACAAATGTGTTGACAATTCGACTGCCTTGACTATAGTCTTGCATTAAGGAGATGATAGTATGGGTTTTAGCAGAATGGACTCTTGGTGATATTGTCTTGCCGCTAGGTGCTTCGTCTGGTTTAGATAAAGTCAAAAGAATGCGACAGCTTCTCTCGAATCTTCCCATTTTACATTCGTGTGGTGTATCTTAAAGCAGAGCATGATGTTAATTCATAAAAATAAAGAGTAAGATACACAATGGGTGATCGGTTCATTTATAAGAGGCATGTTGACAATCGTTCGGAGAAATTGGGTTGTATTTTTGGGAATCTTACTTGAAATACTCGGGGAGATACTTGAAGCACATAAAAACTATATATATTTTTTAAAACAATATCACACATGATAAACATCTCCATCATTGCAGATAAGTGAAAAATACCAACCTGTATTTCCCCATTCCCCTTTGTGAAACAGAAGTTGTTTCCAGCTTCCGTGTGAAGTGAAATGGTCCATTCTGGACTCAAATAAGGTAGAATTACATTTATACTTGAGCTCCTTTTCTGAGAGTTCCTCCTTCTTGACTGGCCTTAGGCAAGGTCGAGAATGCCTCCTCTGTGGAGTATGATTCAATGTGTCCTCCATACTGTGAAGGTCATTAAACGCAGCATCCGAGTTATGATCTCGTTGATCCTGTAATTTTGGGCTTTGGGTAAAAGACATGAAGATGTGAGAAACACTTTGAGCACTACCAACGGAATGTTTAGACTCTCCTTTAGCTAAGAGGTTTTGTGCTGAACCCCCAAAGGAAAAGGAGGAAAGTGAGTGGCCTTGTGATAGGCACTGTTTATTCGGAGTGGGCGGTGTTTGACATACATTAGTCATTGAATCGTCCATACTGATTCGTAACATTTGTGGTATGTGCGCAGCGCCAACTGCTCTCTTGGCGGTGTGCTCATGACCGACAGCTGTAAAATCACTTGACGATTGTCTACGCTGTGTCCAGCAATGTTTAACGTGAGCAAGTCTTTGTATATTTTCCCGCCTGGAACTTACTGGATTCTCCTGGGCGATTGTATAGTGCCCTTTAAAGTGGCGATTATTGTCTTCGACTACACATCCAAATCCCTCAGAATCTGTTTCATATAGGTCAGTGTTTGTATCTCGAACTCTTCGCTCTTGAGTATATCTCCCATCTTTAAACGGTTCAGTCGAACTACACAATACAATACCATCAAACTGACAATAGAAGTCTTCCAATGACATCCAGCACTCATTGATGTCTTTACTTCCAAGCGGGTCATACTTCCTCATGAAATCCTTGTCAAAGTTGCTCCAAGCACAGTTATTACTATAAACAGTGGAACGCCTTGATTAAACAAAAGTATACGGATCGTTTTCAGCTTTTAAAATCATTGCTCCTAGATTTGGGTTCTTAACTTTTCAGGGTGGTAAAATGTTAATCATAAGCACATGCTTCATTTATTCATTCTTATCCTAATATTTAAGATTCAATTGGATACAATTGTAGACGATTAGACTCATTATATTATACAGTTTTAAAACCTAACGTGTGTACAATGTTGTAGCCATTTTGGTAAAAAGTTTAGTGACTAGTTTTTCTATCGACGGGTATTAGAAGTTCAAATTTCAATGTGCATTTACCTTTAACAAAGAAAGTATAACCTTACCTGTCAGAAAAGTTTGACTGCAGCTTCACATATTTTGCATAGGGGTTCTTAATCCGGAGCATGTGCTTAACACATCCATCCTTCAGTGGAAACTGAAAAACAAAGAGACAATAAGCATAATTGGAACTGTATATCCAACATCATTTTCTGTTGGTATAGCTCATAAATATTCCTTATTCTCTTGATACATATGTTTTCCTAAAGTGTGATATGTCTTGCATTTCTCCTATACCTTCTATAGAGAATTTATATTTTTGGCCATAGCTATTGTTTAACACTTCACTGACTACTATTTTTATAAAGTTATACATTGTACTATATTTGTACTTTCTCTGATAGTGGCAGTATATAAAACATATGTAAAATTGAGCATTGTTTCTTTATCAGTGCTTTATATTTTCCAGAATCAATTTTTTCTTAGATACCTTAGCGGCAGACGTTATAATGTGAAGATGACCTCTCTGGTTGTCATCTGTACCGCTCTGATTTGACAATTTAGTTACTATGGGAACAACTCTGGATGGTGTTGCTAGGATTTCTACACCGTCTTGGGAAGGCTTTGATATCTTTCTCCAGCACGTTATCATAGATCTGAAAAATGGTATCTTGAGCATAACCATAGAAACACTTGGTCATTGATCTGGCATTCCGTTTTAATTTCTGCTGTGTATTTGGGAAAGTTATATCACTCTCGTAAGCTAGAACATTCACAAATAATGAACTAGGTTCTAAATCAGTAGGATCAGGTAGATGTACCAGCCTATGACAATTATACTACCACATGCTCATAAATAATGAAACAGGATAATATCCATCTTCATGTAACAATAAAGTTGGAGTAACTGAAACCTTGTGAATCAAGATGATATCAATTCACATCTGATAATGTCATTGATTACCAGGTAACCTGCAGTGCACACGAAGGTGACGTGATAAGTGATATTATTTCGTCTAATTATAAACACAATTAGATAGTGAAGATGTTCTAAGTTCTTAAATACTGAGGTAACGTTATTCCCATATGAAACATACTTATGTGACAGGATATTAAAACATTCATTACCATGGAAACCAAGTGCTGAATCCGGTGCAAAACATCCAACAATAGATAAAAAACGTGACATGCATGATATACATTTAACCAGGTCCCAAGACACATGACGCCAATGAGGATGACATGACATCGAAATCACGTCAACAGCGCGAACGAGCAACTTGATTTATACATAATACCAAGGACGTCATCGATAATACGTGTAAAAACCGTGACAGTCCTAGGTCATTAGCCTTACCTGTTAATACAAGACTTATGCAGCAGGTGAAAAAGGTCTTCGTTCTTCAGCTGATCGATTCTGAACATCTCACAAATTGCACCAGTAAAGTCTGTTACTGCATTTAGAGGGTTGCCTAGCTCAAGGACTTCATAGGCTTTGAAACACCTAAAATTACATTGATGTAAAATATCATTGTTATTTTCGATAAAAAAGATCATAACCTCACCGATAATTGATTTTTTGTTTTGGAATTTTGGTCATGTACATGTTTACATTGGCAATTGTAGTTTAGCTTGGATCTATATTCCGTACTACCCCTTTCCTCACATACCATCAGGGGAAACCAAATATATAATCATTTACTTGGTGTTCCTATAGATCATCGGTTATGATGACAATCATTAATTTGCAGGGTTAATTTGCAGGCGCGTTACATCCTGTGCCAATCAAAAATATAATAGGAGACACACAACCTATTGATCCTTCCGCCGAGTGGGAAGGATAGACGGCATTACAAAAACAAAAATATAGTCCAATTATTGTCATTACATTAGCATCACCAGTGGTTGGATTTTGGTAAGTACATGAATGAAAAAGTATATGTGACCTTTTTGACCTGCCTCCATCTGTCAAAATCAGAATGACATTTTTTGACATTTTCTATAGATGGCGTCTTCAACAGGTGAGATCTTTTGATTTTCGGGGGGAGTTTTGATTCAAACTTTTTTGACTGACAGAGGACATACTGGGGTATGATGGAATGATAGCAAAATATGTCCACAAATCTTAGTTTTCTCTGGAAGACAGATCGTTTGTATGGGAATACGCATGTTATAACAATTAATTAGTTGGGTTAACCCATAGCGTATTGTTGATACAATGAAGATCCCATTAAGCATGTGTAATATGGATCACATATTGAAAAATTTCCTCGTGATTTAAAATCTAAAACAAACGATTTAAGTAGTGGGGATTAAAAAGTAAAAACATACATGTTTACGTAGTGTTAGGGATTAACAATGGATGTATAGGGAGGTAGGGATTTAAAACAAAAAAACACAAATTTTACAGTGGACCGAGTGGTGTTTTTTTTACAAAAAACATAGAGATTTATAAAATGGAGAATGTACTCTTAAATCGTGACACTGTTGGTAAAATTTTCCTGAACATTCGAAATGGAAGCGAATTAGCGAATTTTCTTACTTTGCATACGCCTTTTCCAAAAGTGATGGCCAATATTCTTTGTATTCTCCCAGTGCCGGACAATAGGCAGGTTCATCGTCAAGTGTTGGAATCTGATCGTCAACTATGATATCTTCCCAGTCGCCAAACCGCCAAATTTTGAATTGGAATTTACCTAGATTATAAATACATAGAATTATATAAAAGACATGTGTTTATAGGCCAAATGCCCTGATTCACCATCAACGCACCCCCATTCACCCCAACGCGCTATAATATATTCATGTATAATGTTTTCATTATTTTTGTAACCTGTAATGCCTCATTAAAATACAGCAATCCGATCGCATATATACCTTTTGATAATCAACGTCACCTGTAAGTATTTATTACAGGTTATGCATTTCCCAATATATCCCTAAAGGTTTAGCAGTTACAAAATTCATAGAAGGATTATTCACTTCGCGATATGCACTTCGCGATATGCAGTAGGGTACATAAGACAGCTATGATATTTCAACAATGATAATGATATTTTTCACTGTACAGTCATTTTAGCAAAGAACCAAAGTATCACTATCACTATTATGAGTTCACGATATCGTTGTGAATAATAGACATTGCTGAATATACAGGCTGGGCCAAAAAATGTTATTGATTTTAAAGTGCAATAACTCATATTTTTTTATTATTGGCATGACTGGTCTCAAACTAAAATGAACATGATGATTTGATTGGCCGCCACCTGAACACGATGCATAGAAAAACGACTGATATGGAACAAAACTTGCATCAATTCTTAGTCATCTCAGAAAGTTTGAGACCAATCATGAATAATAAACTTTGAATCAGTAAAATTCCTGATTCACTCTATACATTATCTGTATAGTACAATACCTGTATAAACATCCCTTTGAAAACTCTGTCTGAAGCTCCCGTAGCCAGGAATAGCCTTTTCTAGAAATCTAGCATTGAGAGAAGTGATTGTTATGGCGTATAGGAGCCAGAATCTCTCGTTCCACTGTTGCCATGGCAATGACACTTTCATCGTACCATCTATACCATTAAATTGCGCGTCTTCGTCGATTTCCTGGAAGAAAATGAGAAGTTAAAGTATACATGTACATTGTTAACGCAATTCTAATACGCATCGTACATTTTATCCAACAGAGAATCTCTGATTAATTTAGAAATAAAGAAATTGCTATATGTGATAAACCTTGAAAATGTGTGCGTACACTATTAGCCAATATACCATATTGTATTGGATATTCTTTGCTTGGTTCATGGGCTTTCAACTAGAAAGCCCATGCTTGGTTTGATGAAATTATAAAAAGTTTATACATTTTATTTGTTGTGATATAAAAATGCAATCATCTTGGAAATTACATTATGGTCATTACGATTTATACATGTGATTGCTATTTGTTTTGGAGTCATCAATCAGGATGATAACCAATGAGCTATTTAAGCTATCAGTAATACGCTATGGGCAAAATGTTACGGAATTGTTAACGGATAGCCAAGTTGGCTTAAAACACATCGATTATCTAGAAGGATGACTCTCATGACCATATTATGATGATATTGACATTTAATTTGACAAATTATGTGTAAAATATTGTAACAAGATACGTTTCAATCTAGAACTACATGGATCATGGACAAAAATGCTATGTTCATGGGGATTAAACAGACCAAGACATTTGAGATTGCATCTAAAATTACTTTCGGAAAGCCCCACATTAGATTTTTTTTTGTTTTTTTTAATTTATTTATTATCATATTCATTTAGTATTGCATTAGCAGTGTTGGCACTTGATACCCATAAAAGGGCATATCAGTGCTAAAATCAAAAGTTGTATAATATAAAAATATATTACAATTTATATGAATTGAATGAAGCAAGAAATACAATTATAGATATCATTATGCCTCCAAAAAGTATGCTAGAAAAGATAGCTAGTGTTAACATATTTACTGGAACATACACACATACATAACCGACAGCAAAGTAAACTATTGTTTGCCATGTGGTAACTTCTTTTTCGATTGATAAAATAGAGAATATAACTGAGCATTTTGTGTTTGCAAAATGTGATGAGTACTAGAATACAAATCTGAATCAAGGGATAGTAATCACCTAGCTAAAGCTAATATACTGTGTGCAACGCCCGATGATACTAGGTTTGACACGGATAAGTGTGTTCGTTGGACAAAAAATGTATCTTGGAAGTATTTAGACAATTATTATGCATTTAGCACTGATTACATAAAAGTGGTGACATATTATTAAAACTTCCAATAACTTCATTTTTCAAGTTCTCAGAGGTTCAAATCTGACTTTAGATTTGACCTTCAATGACCTTCTCAAGGTCAAAAAAGGTCAAAAGGGTATTTTTTCAACTTGCTCCTAATTGAGAATTTTTTTCAAAATCATCTACAAGTTCTCAAAAGTTCAAATCTGACTTTAAATTTGAGATTTGACCTTCACTGGCCTTCTCTCAAGGTAATAAATTGACCAGATTTTTTCAAAATCATCTACAAGTTCTCAGAAGTTCAAATCCGACTTCAGATTGAACTCATAATATTATGAGCAACTAGGTGGTGACATTTTGTCATGTTAAAGCCTTGATGATAGTTATTATAGACAGTGAGACCTCCATTTTAAGGTGATATCTTGTTTGTGTCTCAAATTACGTCATCGCCGTCGCATTTTGTTCATCACTAGAACAAGCATATACCGAGGATAAAGCACAGACGTATTACTGACATATTGACGTTTTTCGATGATTATCATGTTTTTAAACACTGAGGACAAAGCTATTGATGGTACTTTTGGACAGCGAAGACCTTCACTTTTAAGGCGATCTCTTGTTTTTGTCTTCAATGACGTATCTCTGTCATCGTCGTTGTATTTAATTAATCACTAGAAAGCATACCAGGATAAAGCACTCCAAGCAATGTCTTCAAAGGTCTCCAACTGACACACTGAATACCTTTTCCGTCTCGACTTTTATTGTCGATATTGCACGATCATTCTATTTACTTATATAATATTTTAGGTGTACCTGGTTTATAACAGCTTTGAATAAGACTACAGGTTACACACGGCGCTATTTGCCCTAATGTGACAGATTTTTTTACGTACGTCATCGGTGGACATATTGTGACAGCTATGAGACCCATTTACGAACAACGTCAGTTGGTTTAATGCGACAACTTCAAGATCAGTTAAATGTGACATGAGGCCCTAATAAGTTGATCAGACAGGGTGCCTGACATTGTTATAACTCACTTTTTACAGGTTTTGAGATAAGTATACTATCTTTCTCAATTTTTCACGAGGAATTCATTTCTGACGTCCATTTAAATGGATCCAGTGCCACATCAGTTCAAAATGAGGAAAAAAATTAGACCCACCTTGTCATATCCGTTCGGGTAGGCAGCAGAACCAATCAGATACATAATTTTGATCTTGACTAATAGTAATAACATTGTGGAAATAATGGGACGATCTCGAAAAAATAGGTTTTTAAAAATGACTCAATGACCTCTGATTTCTCAATGTCAGCAAAAATGCAATTGTAACAACGTGGAAATAATGGGACGATTTGTATAATCAGAATTGGCTATCTAGTCTTGCCTCAAGACTGCCCTCCTTCCCCCCAGTGGCGGATCTGGGGGGGGGGGCATAATACAGGGGGTAAACTGTCTTGAAGCAAGACTGTTGGCTATCATTGTGGTTTGCCACGCCCCCGAAGAGAAACAACAGAAGGGGTCAGATAAATCAAAATGATTGGCTACTTTTGTTTCACATAAATCGTTATCAAGTTATCAGATGCAATCCCGCCATCTTATTACCATCCAGCAGGTCTCAAATTAAATACTCATTCATATCGAGATATGACAAATGATGATTGAAAGTGGATCTCGAAGACTCATAATATTACATAATTATCGACGTAAATAGGTATGCTAAAAAGAAATTCTATGTAATGTCTCATGATATCAGTTACACTTAGATTCAGGCTTGGCAAGGAACTCATAAGGAATAAGCTGTATGTAGATGATTGATATCATTCTGAAATCAAAGAATTCAAAGAGTCTTTATTCCTGAATATTTCCTGTCTCAAAATAACTTGCTAAAGTGCTTGACTGTTCCGATATATCATGGACCTCCATGATATATCTAGCAGCATGTACATTGTTGTTTGAAGTAGAGAGGTTAGAATATCGGTATTCCGCTTTTCTATTTGCTCTAATAGGTCTAAAACCATACTGTCACTAAGATAAAAAATTATAGTGATTAATTAGTTTCGTGGATTAGTATTATTGGAATATAAGATGTAAATAATGATTAGGAAAGCTCGAGGTCATTGCCATTTCCGTGACACGGAAATGGATAATGAAGAAGGCTCGAGATGAAGTGAAGACGCCCATCAGTGCGAATGTCGAACATTAGATCATTTTGTAATTATTTGCCGAGCTTGCGAAGAAAACCAGTTCACCTTAGAGGGGTCTAAGCCCACGAACCCAATTATATACTCTTATATATAAAAAGAATATATATATTGTAAAAGAAATTCAGCAGCTTATACAACACAGTGCGCGTACTTTTCCTTATTGCACTGTCGACTGTGGGCAATTCTTCACTGAATGAAGACACCCGGGTGAAGATATCACTCGGACGTTACGTTCATCTAGAGAACGACTATGCTGCAATCCCGTGGAATGAGAGTCTCTACTGGTCATGTTTGAATAAGTTTTAATTTGCGGCATCATTTGCAATTGTTTTTTTTATTGGCCCCTTTTAAATTAAAAATCAAATGACTAAATGGTACTGACAAAGTGACTGCAGATTCGTTACCATGGCGACATATGATTGTGCAATGTACACACACCTCCATAAAGGTAATTTAGCAACGCACTAACTATAAGTAATTCTAACTGACTAAGTATATTTAGGTAATTGTTCGATATTAACTAACTAAAAACTCAAATTATCTGGATGCTCTGACAACGGCAACTGCAAAAGCCAGTGTGACCTTGTATTGAATTCTCGTTCTGTTAGTTTCCAGCACTTATCTTCAGAGACAAAGATTTCGTAAAGAATGATAGGCTAACTGAATCTAAATTGTCATGTCTGAACTTGCGTTAGTAGGATGCGATTTTAAATAGAAATACTGATCATGCAAAAACAACTTGGAAACAAGCGAATGACGTTGGAATGCCCGTCTTCATTACTGCAAAGATCTAGGGGGATTAACCCCAGAGTTCAAAGATGACATACGCTTATAATGTAAACCTGTATTGAGATGACCCACGTCTCTGATTGGTCAAAACGACAAACAAAAATGGCGGATTAAAAAATTTCTAATAACGCTTCGAATAATATTATGTTAATTTCTGGCTTGTTAAACAATATCATAGCTTGTTATTTCACATCAAGATAAAGAAAGATGTTAGGAACATGCTTACATCGATTAAAAGATCACAACGACGCGTTAGATTCGAAAACTAACTGGTGAAAATTTGCGCAAACGAAGGTGGTACGTAAGAGACGTAATACATGTACGTCTGCCATCGGTAAATCTCTGGGGCTTTCCCTCCTCTTATTACAGCATAGCCAATAACGACGTGTCAAGGTTCCATGAAGTCACAAATAGTGTCAAAGGGGCAAAGTCCCATGATAAAGTAGCAACACAAAAGCGGGCACAAAAGTCAATTCTACGGAATTCTAAGGGGCTTGAGGGTAAATTTAATCATAGCCAGCTTACGCTCATCTCGCTAAACAGAGCTCAAGGTAGCTGGAACGTTGAACTTTGCAAATTGTCATAACAGGAAAATATGTGTTCTTGTTTTGATAAGAAAACGCGCCATTGTTACTCACTGGATCTTTTTTATTCGAAATATGACTTCGGGCATGTTGGTCTTTTATACTGCATTGCGTATAGTGAGCAGAAACATTTTCCGTATACGGCATCAATATTATTCCCACAAACAACTATACTGTATGTATGGAAATAAAATTGAGAAAATATAAAGCAGTTGTGGAAATTGAATAAGAGGCTCAGCTGTGTTATGAAAATAACGTGTTATTCTAATTTCCCAGACCCAATCCCAGACGAAAAAGCCGACTTGGAGATATAGTTATCAAGAAGTTGTCTTATCTCAATAGCACAAAGGGCACAAATTAAGCGAGCTCTGTGCAAAATAAGGAAGTGAACTGTGTTTATTACGCGTCAGTTCACACTAGACATAAAAACGAGCTTCATATGGGGCCTTTAAACCTGATCGACACCCATTAAATTATTTAATCTTAACTATTTTTCAGACATGAGATTGCCAGATACTCAGACAGCTTAACGTACATTACTATTATTAATAAATATATATAGTAAACAATTGAGAATTCCTTGTATTTATAGATGCTGTTCATCTGTCCAATATTCTAGTGTATTTCATTTTTTATATTTTCACATATTGATCTGACATATTATCAAGCAGTGCTAGTATATTAACGTGCTCCATGCATGAATTATAATTCACAGTAGTTCATCATCACTTAATATAGATAGTCAATTAAAATAGCAAAATGTGTTAGATTAATCAGTCGTATCTGTTGAGAGCTACATGACACTGCATGCAATATGTTTAATCAATTTCAATATATGCTTTAATCTTGTGATGTAACTCGGAATATAAACTGTCTCAATAATGCACGACCTTGACACTGTCTGTGGGTACAGTACGTACAGTATCATAAATATATCAGAAATACCTTAAGGTAGATATTCTTATCCACCCTCTGAAGTCATCGTACTCTAACGGTGTAAAAATAATATCTTGTCTTTCACATATGGCTAAATGCATTAATGTCGTAGGCAACATACAGGTTTACGTAATCAATTTCACGTTGAACCAGATATAACTTATTACGCGAAAGATACAAGAGATCATCAATGTATCATTTATCAGCTAGACATTCATTTCCATATAAAGTAAGAATATATATACTATATAAACACATATAATTGCAAAAACTTACCAATGGACGTTTAAACACCATGCGTTCGTATTTGTCGTCTCCGCTATATACGTAAGTAAGTGAACTGATGTCCGCAGGGAACGTTTGGTCAATGAACAGCGCTCCATTTTTCGACGTTCTCCCTTGGCGTTTTAACAAGTTACCTTTCTTGTCGAATCCATCCACGAGGTAACGCTGACTCGAATCAAACCGCCAGTCGGTCATTTTAGTTTCGTAAAGACGATGAATACGAGTATATGTTCCATGAGTTGTCTTTAAAATCCTTGAATGAATTTATCAAATTAGAAGCAGTGTCTCCGCTGAAATGATGCTCGGAATGGATTTGCTAATGCAGAATATGGAAAGGTTGCTGCAGTTAATACTGATATTAATTAGTTCTTGGTTTGAAACAGCGACTACAAACTGCTAGCTTATATGTAATAGTAAACGATGTCTGACGAATGAGTTCGTACACTGTTGCTCATAATATGGAATATAAATTTTGCGTTTTTAGCATATTACGCTTATTGAAACAATTCAACCTCAATCATCAAATTTCTAATTTATCTCGATTTATCGAAGCATTCAAAACTCACTGTTTTCTTGCATGGTTCATATATTTTCATCGGTTTAGAGTAAAATGGCATCGTTTCCGACCACGGGCCTGTACTGGGTCTCAACTTCAAGATGCGCAAATTCAAAACCGAATCTACCTGAATGGAATGGATATACAAGTAAGATCATTTTAAAGCGTAAAATTAAAGGAATCGGCTTCTATGATTTCGACGATGGTCATACCACTTTAACTGTTAAATAAACAGTAACAGTGGGCAGGAGCTAGTCTCTGAATCAAATCTTCACTAGCGCCACCTATCATGGCCGGTGTGAAAGAAATGATGGTCCCCCAGGGATTATGGTCCCCTTTCTTAACGGCCCTTACTGGCCCTGATTGCGTATAAGATAATGAGGGAAAGAGTTGTATATAGGTCACCATATAAATCAATGGAAAGTAGGACCATAATTTGATAGGACCTCCTACCCTTTTACACCTGATTCAGTAATTGTTGGTTCCATAGACATCAACTTTGGGGCATAGTTTAGTTCAAGCAAGTTATTTTCCTACCCATAAAAGTCAACCGGGGTAGGAATGTCGTCATGTGAGAAATAAATAGAATTTTTCATGTTAGATCTACCTAGGTTTTCGGAATATTTAAGGAATGGAAAATCAAAACCTAACCTGATCGTCCGAACGTTAACAGTTAATGGGTTCGGAACATTGGATGATTTTCATATTTGACATTATTACTCTTGATCAGTTGTACAAATCCATTTATATTATTTTTGTAGTAGTTTTCATGTTTTCATCCTTCGTTATTTTATCTTCGAAACAAATGCCAGTTTGAGTATTGATAAAAGGACATAATTTGTATCTCAAATGACGCATATCTATCATCAACTGAAATCATGATTTTTATGCATGCAATGATTTCCAAATCAATTTGATCGTATACTTTGCTTGTACCTCTCTCTCTCTCGCATAATTGGTTATGTTCTCATGCCACAGGTGTAGATTATTAGTACCACCATGTGTACTGTCGAGTATTAGTACCTTGTTTACCATGGAGTTTTAGTACCGTGTGTTTCGTGGAGTTTTAGTACCATGTGTAACCCATGTAGCCGTTGTTGTGATCTGTTTTGGATATACGTAATTCACATTAATTTCAAATTCCCTTCAAATTGTGTATTGTTTTGACCCACCCTGTATATGCTGTAGGGAATTTATTGGCTATTTCAAAACAATGTTTTTTAAAATCCAATCAAACATTGTTCCATGGGCTTTCAAGAGACTGTTGAAAGCACATGATTTTCCTATAGAATGTACCGGTGTAAAAGGGTAGGAGGTCCTTTAATATTATGGTCCTACTCTCCATTGATTTATATGGTGACAAAAATACAACTGAACTCTTTCCCTCATTATCTTATACACAATCAGGGCCAGTAAGGGCCATTAAGAAAGGGGACCATAATCCCTGGGGGACCATAATTTCTTTCACACCAGTCTGAACTAAATGTATTACATAAAAGGTACCTTTGTACAGTGTATGACGATGTTTAAAATGGAATATAATTATTTTAATACGTCAAGTAATCATATTACATAGCACATGTAGTTATCTCATTATATCAGTGTTAAATGGTATTGATTGATAACATCAAGCCATGATTAGCACTTTTTTGAAACAGTGTTCAGCGGTTGGCGTCCAGTGGTCGGCGACTGAAACAAATTCTTACAACTTTCAATAAGTTAACAGATTCTGTTTACTGAAAAAAATACTGTTTACTGAAAGTAAATAAAAGCTTATGATCTTTACCTGAAATAAATATAAAAAAGTATATAATATTTTCCTGGTCTAAACCAACATTCATCATCAACTATGAAAATATGTTACGTTCACATAATCACTATTCATTTATTAGCTACTATGCTTATTAACATGTTATCACAGTGAACATGTTGCATGCAGGAAAAATTCATTTGAAAGACTTTACATTAAATCAGCAATATTTTTTTTATGAATTCTGACTTTCAATGTTCATTTATTTCATCAGACAATGGATATTATCTGAGTTATGATTAGTTGTTTAAATTGTCATCCATCTTATGCAAATGTTCTATTGTAAATTGTCATTCTTATTATACGCCTGTCTTCAGTATACTAGTAGTCTAAATTGCCATCCTTCTTATGCGCCTGTTCCATAGTATAGTCCTTAAGCTTAGTCCTGGTATAAAACACAAATACAATTGCTGTACAAAATACTGCATCAAAATTCTCACACTGATTGACACTTAGTGTTTCAATTGCTATGATGGACACCATATAATCCATAAAAGTATTTTCATAATGTATCACTATTTGCATGTGTCATCGGTTTGTTTGTGATGGATCAGGAACATGGTCGAAATCATCCAGAAACTTCTCTTGTTTGACAGCATACATTGAGTAAATATCTTTGAGAGTGTTAAGGAAAGTATGATCATATTATGCTACTGCATAAATCTGCAGGTAGAAAACACATATTATGTTGTTCAGTTATGTAAGATAATGACACATAATTTTCAATATTAAATATACTTTATAGTATCACTGATTCTGAATCAATGAGATGACCAATAATAAAAATTCAGAAATTACATACTACAGGCCCATAGCCAGGATCTACTGGGAGAGCGGTTTTACCAAGGGGGAGTTTTTGCCAGTTGTTTTTGACAATTTTGGCAAATATCATGCAAAAAGTGCTCAGAATGTGGTCCCTCCGCTTACCCCTGGCTAGGGGCCTGTACTAGTATTATTTAAAAAGAGTTTTTGCCAGGGTGAGCTTTTTGACAGTTTTGGCAAATATCATGCAAAATTTAAAAATACTACATTGTACTCTTCCACAAAGCTTTTTTGTATACTTCCTTATTTAGAACAACAAATCATCTTGAGACATTAGTACGCCTGTAAACTAGGCTGATAAAATTAAAAAATACAATTTTAGAAACCAAAATAAAACCAACAGTATTTCAACACTTGTACAATGCTGCCATCTATTTATGCATACAAATATTATTTCTACCAGAGACATGAATTGAAACATCTCTGATCAACAAAACTATTTTTTGTGCATACATGTACATGTCATGTATTGATTCTCAAAGCAGATTTTGAAATCTATAATGAATGAATTATAAATGGCACCTACATGGAAATATGCTCTGTTGATCTACGAATGCGATTGAAAGCTACCAGAAGTTTTTAAAGTTCATTCAGGATTCTCCAGGAATATTGAACCTTACTTCATCAAAACCACCTTTTGATTTCTCACTTCAAACTGGCTTATTATTGGACAGATAATGAACTAAATCAGAGGTGTTGCTCAAAATTTAGAATTGATCCGTGCTCCGCCTGTGGTGAGTGAATAGGCCGATCTAAAGGATGTCGTAATAACAAATTCAAATGCCCCCATTTTGAATATTTTTCCATCTCAGATTTTGAATCATCAGATTTGATCTTATTCCAGAACAAAAAATTCAAAACAAATAAAAGGTAATTGACGTCGTGTTTGGCTGAGTTCCACAATGTAATGTAGCAGGAGGGATGACACAGAACAAACTGCTAAGTAGACACAGGGTAACATTTCATTATTTTGTTATTTTAACCATATGAACTTCTCAATAGACTAAGTGTTTTATCTTTAGATAAACCTTTCGATAGAGCTGATTATGAATTAGAGTAATAGCCAGTTGTAATGAAAGTGAAGATTTTTATAAGATTATAAGATGATTACGGTTTATAGGCATATTTTGCCTGTTTAAAGGTTGAATAAAGACTATAGAAGAAATTTGGGAGTCATTTTACCTTTCCCGAGCTATTAGTGCAACGTTTGGCCTAGTGTCTTCTTCGCCATACCTATTTTCTTAAAATATATGCACTTGTCGACGAATACCACCAATCAGACTTGCAAATATACTTCTAAATAAGCTATTGAAAGGTTGGACGTCCCGCAATTTGTTTTTTGAAACATTTCTAAATCTCCGCCATTTAAAATTCTTGCTGCAGCTGAGAGAGGTAAGACCGCATGTTACAGTATAACCGCGGTTGTCTAATATAACCGTATGCATGGTACACGATATGACCGCCGTTGACGGTCTATTACCGGCGACTCTTGCAGTTAATTTGATCCACTGACGAAGAAAAATAAAAAAAAATCTAAGATTAAAACACCTCAAATCTGCCCATATTCAAGGTCTTCTTGACACGCGCATGGTATAAAGGAAACAGAATGTTGGACTGAACGTTATGTGAAAACGGGGCTGGAATCCAATGACAATATAACCGGGAAATCATTAAAAGGTATGTGAGCATTTTTTCTGTCGATGTCGGGAGAAGATTCTCGGGGATTTAGGATGCCAGTGATTGTGAATATCGGCAGAAATTAGGTACATTCGGGGGTTTTCTTTGTAGCTAATGAAAATAGATGTTAGCCTTGATGAAATATTCAAAATTCGATATATTTTGACACCCGGACCATGATCGTTGGATACGTCTCTGCACTATTTACTCAACCTTTAAGGTTCAGCTGGAAAGTTACACTGTCT